GTAGAGAGAATAGTGCAACAATGAATGAATGGAAACCCAAAATCTCTGTAAATGTTTATGAAAATTAATAAAATATAGAAAAAAAATGGGTGGGGGGGAAGAGGTTAAAAAAAAAAGACACCAGTCAAGTCTCTATAACAACTGTGGCAGACCACTCACTCAAGTCTGGGTCTGCTACTTTCTAGAACGTACTGCCATGGCCTAAACAGCAAGCAAGAACCTATCTCGCACTAGTCAGTTCTGGTAGGAGCTCTGGTAGTGAAACGCGGATGTCCATAGGGAATTCCTTAGCCAAGCACTTCTCTGGTGGTTCAAATCCATCAGTGACCACATAGGAGAAAGACAAGCACTCTCCTCCCCTGCAATTTACAGCCTCAGCTGTAGGGGACCAGCTGAGGGTCAATCCTGACTCGATGGCAACAAGTGAGTGAGTCATCTCTGAGGGTACTCTTATGGTGCAGTCTTGAGGGAGATGTGCTGCTGACCCAAAGGCACCCTTCTGTCAGTACAAATCCACCAGGGGTTCCATGGAAGAAATATGAGAAAGCACTTCTCATATGATTTACATCCTCCAAAACTTTCCGTGAGGTCAGCTATAAGATAGTTGACTCAAAGGGAATGAGTGACCTGAGAGAATTTGGAGGGAGTTACTGCTACCCAAAAAGCATGTATTTCCAGTAATTTCAAACCCATCAGCAACTCTGAGGAAGAAATACGGAAAGTTTCTTCCTGTGGTGTTAAAGGCTTATTGTTAAAATGGCTTTCCTAGCCACTGCCTTTAACTTTGCCATGGGAATGGGCCAGAATGTGTGAAAAAGAGTGTTAGTCTAGCTGAAAGGGGATTGGTTCCTTTCACCACTAAATTAAGCAGATTCCATGGCAAATTTTGGAAATCTCATCACACAAAAGAAGTAGCAGAGCATGCAGACTGTGCTCTTTAGTGCCAAAGATTCCTTTGCCACGCAGACTAGGGCCTAGAGGAGCAGCAGCCACAGCAGAGAACCAGAGACCTGACACAAGACAGAGCTGACTTGGGACTGCTGTCCTAAGGAACTAGAGACCTGACATGAGACAGAGCT